TAGTGCATGTGAGTTCTGCATATTCACTTTCGCCGGCTATCTTCAAAACCACGACTTGTTTTTCTAATTCTGTGATTTTGTTTTTACAGCTGCTTATGATCCATTGGATCCTAATGGGAACATTACAATAAAATGGGATATCATGTCCTGGACAGCAGATGGCTATGTGGTGAGAATCCTATGCGCGCTTGTGTGTGCGTGTATGTGTTTTTGAAACTTGCACAAACTCTCGTCATCTCTATAACATCTGTGCAACTTGCAGGCCACCGTAACTATGAACAACTTCCAAATGTACCGGCACATACAAAACCCGGGTTGGACATTAGGCTGGACATGGGCAAAGAAAGAAGTGATTTGGTCAATGGTTGGCGCGCAAACAACAGAGCAAGGAGATTGTTCCAAGTTCAAGGGAAATGTACCTCATTGCTGTAAGAAAACCCCGACGGTCGTTGATCTCTTGCCAGGTGTGCCTTACAATCAACAGTTCACAAACTGTTGCAAAGGCGGTGTGGTTGCAGCTTGGGGTCAAGATCCATCATCCGCTGTATCACAGTTTCAGGTTAGTGTTGGTTTGGCTGGAACTACAAACAAGACTGTCAAGCTTCCTAAGAACTTCACATTGCTTGGTCCCGGGCTTGGTTACACCTGCGGTCCTGCCAAAATCGTGCCATCGACAGCTTTTCTCACAGCTGACAAACGACGGAAAACCCAAGCTTTGAGTAAGTAAACTTAAATCAGTAAATCTATAGAAATTAACCTTAACTTGATCCAGTATCATAATCCATTTCATAATCCTCACTTTTACTTTACTTGCTTATGGTCTAACCTTTTATACATTTGTGGAGAGTAGCCAAATGAGTCAGATTTCAGATGCAATTAGAATCATGTGAATCACACAGTTTGATGGAAATATATCTCTTTTAGATGTTCGCCTGCGAGTCGGTGCTATACCTTCCCATCTAACCGTCTGATTAACATGATTCTAACTGCATTTGATAGCTCTCTTGGCTATATCTTCACAAAATTTGAGAAGATTGATATTGAAATTGATCTCACAACATTTTGTAGAAGGAAAGGTGATTTTATTAACGCATCAAAGTTAAGGGTTTGGATTTCTAGAAAAAACATAACTGAGGATCTTAAAATGGAACAGAACAAAGTTTAAGATCATCTATATGCACCACTGATCTCTAACCTTCATTTTAAACTTTATATTTCTGCAGTGACATGGAATGTTACCTGCACATACTCACAGTTTCTAGCCAGAAAGCATCCAAGCTGTTGTGTCTCCTTCTCTACTTTCTACAACGATACCATAACTCCTTGCCCGTCTTGCGCTTGCGGTTGCGAGAACAAAAAGAGCTGCGTCAAGTGAGCAAAAAAACCAAAAAACAAAATCAATTGAATACAAAATTCTTTATTGTCCCCTAAACTGAAAAGAAATTATCAATATTTTCTTGCAGGGCTGATTCAAAGATTCTAACTATGAAAGGTATCAACACACCGAAGAAAGACAACACTCCTTTGCTACAATGCACACATCATATGTGTCCGGTTAGAGTTCACTGGCACGTCAAAGTTAACTACAAAGACTATTGGCGCGTGAAGATAGCGATCACAAATTTCAATTACCGGATGAATCATACATTATGGACTCTAGCAATTCAACACCCAAATCTCAACAATGTGACTCAAGTTTTCAGCTTTGATTACAAACCAGTTGCTCCTTATGGATCCATAAGTAAG